GATATTGGGTGTCTGAGAAGATTCTTGTGAAAGCCTTGCATGGCAAGTTTTTTCTCTCTCGATTGGGTCGTGGGTTCTTTCTTTCAAATTTGCCAGACCATATCTCAATATTTTGGCACATAAAAGGAAATAAATAATATATACGATTATAATCATCTATAAAAGTAAATTTAAAAACAAACAAAAAAAACAAAGGGCAACTTAAAATAGGCGCTCGCTTGGACTGCCTGGCGCCTGGCCTAAGGCGCACACCTTAGGCGAAGAGGCGAGCGCCTTCCTAAAGTCTGGCCGCCTTGACCCATGCGAGGCCCCTACTCTGGAAAACGCCTCTCCTTGCGCCTCAGGCGCGCCTTTTAAAACACTGTACAGACCTTATCACTCTCCCCCTGAGCAACAAACCCTGGTGGTTGCTCCATGCACTTCCTCAAGGAGATCACCATGTAAGAAGGCATTCTTGATGTCAAGCTGAAACAAGGGCCAATCATACATAGCAGCAAGAGAGATCAGAACATGAATGGAACCAATTTTTGCAACAGGAGAAAAGGTGTTTGTGTAATCGATACCATACAACTGTGAATAACCTTTGGCAACTAACTAAGCTTTCAACCGTTCAACACTCCCATTAGACAAATATTTAACAGTGTACACCCACTTACAGCCTACAACATGCTAGCGGAAGAGTGGTGAGGTTCCACGTATGAGTATGAGTCAGGGCCGAAAGTTCTTCCTCCATTGCTTGGCCCATCCTCATGGACATCCTTTGGAACAGAGACAGAGGACAACATAGAAACAAACTAGTGATGGGAAGCTGAAAGGTGAGATACAGAAACATAATTGGAAATGGGGTGAAGAGTGCAACTGCGTTTACCTTTCCGCAAAGCAATGGGACGATCATGGTTAGAAACAAGGGGTGGGGTTGGGGTGGGAACAACTACTGGATCTGTTGATGGTGACGAAGCTGGAGGAGGAGCCGGTACCTGACGATGCGTATACACTTGCCGGATGGGTGGTCGCTCAACAGGAAATTGCATTGGAGGCAAAGACTTGATCACAATTGGGACAAGAGGAATGGGGTCCTCAACAGGAACTGACAGAGGAGGTGATAGTGACGGAAAAGAAGAAACACTTGGCCCAGAGAAAAAAGGAACAGACTTAAAGAATGTAACATCAGGACACAAAAGAACATCGGGAATTGGGATTATAACACTTATACCCTTTTTGAGTCCTGGAATAGCCATGGTAGATACACTTACTGGATCGAGCATCTAACTTGTCCATTCTAGGCCCAAGATTATGAACAGAACACACACACCCAAAAACTCTGGGAGTATGAGGAAAAGGAGACAAAGTAGGAAATAAAACGAAGAATGGAGATTGACCTTTAAGGATAGACATGGACATGCGGTTAATAGGGAAGCAAGATGTAAGCACAACATCACTCCAAAAGTGTTTGGGGACATTCATATTGTTAATGTCGACTGTGTAGGGGTATTTTAGTCTTTATATTTATGTTTAAAGCTGCTGATATGTAATGTTTCTGTTCGATGATGTGTCCCATACTTAAGTAGGGACAAAGTAGTCTTTTGTTGTTATGGATAGAAACATATAAATTCAAAGTAGTCCCATACTTAAGTAGGGACAAAGCTGCTGTTGTCGAACCATCTTCATCAAGGTAATATAGTCCACCAGCTTAATGCCCTCCACCAGTCTTCATCCTTGTCTTGAGATCCTGAAACACACAAGAAGAAGGGTAAAAAGAAATAGAGCAATTAAGAGACTTGGTCAATTTACTAACAGACATCAGGTTAAAGGGAAACTTGGGAACATATAAAACTGAGGATAGGGATAACGAGTCTGTATCAACATTACCAATACCACATATGGAAGATGTAGAACCATTGCCAAGAGTAACAGATTGTGATTTGGAGGACGGAGAAAGGGATGAAAACACACCTGGAGTGCCAGTCATATGATCGGAGGCTCCATAATCAAATGGGAGGGTTTGGATGCCAGACAAGTCATACCCGAGTGTGCAAGGGTAGCTGTGTTCTGTTGAGGCGTACCTTGAATGAACCGCTCATACTCATCTTGTGGAACACTCAACATCTCCTTTTTGGAGACATCTGTAGATGTAGAGGGTATTTGATCAGTTTGCTGAGATTCCTGTCTCGAACCACCACTAGTTACGACTACATGATTTGCCCAGGTTGAAGGTGGGCCATGTAGATCATAGCAGAAGTTGATAGTATGCCCCTCCATACCACAATGTGTACCCCTCCTCTAACCATTACTATGTCCTCTACCATGGGCTCTCCCTGAGTCTTGACCTCCAACACGACCACCACCACAACTGTACATGCCACCACCACCACCACGACCATACATGGGTCCAAATTGACCTTCTCGAGCTCCTCTATCTCCACGGTCTCCCCCTCTAGTTACCGCAAAGGTAGACCTATTTGATATAGTTGAGTTCTCCATGGGTCCAACTGAGATCCTCCGGAGATGAGCAAATACTTCTTCAAGAGAGGGAAGAGCAGATCCACCTAGTTTCTGTGCCCTTACCGGTTCATATTCAGACTTCAACCCTACTACTAATCTGGTCACATCCAACTTCTCTCTCTGTTGTTGCTGAATTTTGACATCAGGTGTAAGAGGGTGATACACATTCAACTCATTTCGCAGATTTCTCATACTTGCATAATAGTCTTCAAGACTCTGATTCCCTTGTTGCAAATTGAAATACTCTTGGTATAGTTGGTAAACCCTAGTAGTGTTGTCTTGTCCAGAGTAAAGCTTCCTTGCATGATCCCAGACCTCCTTGTCTGTATCTAAAAACATGAAGTTCACACAGATTTTGGGTTCCATACTGTTCCATAGCCATGTCATAATTTGAGCATCCTCTTGCTTCTACTCATCATATCCCTGAGAATCAGTTGGGGGTTTATCTTCCCTCATATGCTTCACTTTCTTTTTAGCTTTCAGAAAAACTTCAACAGATTCAGCCCAAGGCACACAATTCTCACCATTCAGTTTTATAGATGTCATCTCCACATTCAAATAATCAGAAGGGACCATTACACTGGACTTGCATCCACTTCTGTCTCCCATGACTGCACAAGGAAAAAGGGAAGAAATTTTACCACAAGTTTGTCACTCTACTTCATTAATTAGTCAGCACACTACACACCAATGACTGATTACTATTAGGGTATCTATTATCCTAGGTTTCAGCAACAACACTCACAGTAGTTCACCGCTTTTAGCAACAACACCACCGCTGTCTTCCACTTTCAGCACCATAAACCCTCACAATACACCTCACGAACTGGAAATTTGGTTCTGCAACACATCACAATTTGTTTCTCACTGCTACTCTCACAATTTGGTTCAGCAATCATGTAACCGTTTCACCAAATGTGCACTGTCACCATCCTCACACCTGAAACTAGCCCTCTTCAAATTGCCGAGTAGAGGGTTTTCTACCAACCACACAAAACCACAACAATTTTACTCACTGGAGGCATGAAAACCCCCAGAAGAAGAAAACAATCAGTTCTTTTTTTTTCTTTCTGAGAAGCTCCTAGCTATCAATAAGAATTCTGCAAAACTCTAGAAGAGAATGCGCTGAATAGAAGGAAAAAAAAGGACATTGATCTGAACTAGTTAACCTGGCTCTGATACCATGATAAAATTCAGATGTAGTGTCTGTACAATTCCAGATAATAATAAGAAGAAGAAGAAGAAGGAGAGAATATCTCTGTCTACACCAAACTAAGGGAAGGGGTGTGGTTGTCTTGTTGGCCCTTTTTTTTCTAACAAAAGGGTGGACAAAAAATAATTAGAACACCTAAAAAGAGCTGAAATGATAAATGTTCACTCTACTGTTGTTGTCCATGGAAAAAGTTGGGATACCATATATTAAAGCATAATGCCATTATTTTCCATTATAATTTTTATATCAAACGCACGGAAGATGTGTAGTTGTTTTGATCCTTAAGACATAAAGGGATAAATAAGCAATGGTCATAGTAGAGGGGAGGTTTAAGTAGTTTTCAGAAACCAGAAGGATGGTTTAAGTAATTTACCCCAACAAAATCCATTATGGATGAGACAGCACCATGATCACATCCCTCAAGTTAGAAATATGAATCATACTCAAATAAGCAAATGCTTTCCAGTGCCTATCAGGAAGCCTTCTCCTTCCACCCTCTACATCTGCCTAGGGCTGTCAATGCCTGCTTATTCAATTCTGAGTTTGAAATCCAGTTCAGTTAAGCCTGATTTGGTTCTCAAAAAGTCAGACTATTTATAATTGGTTAAATTTCAATGGATCCCCATCCAAACTCATTTAGTTTCCAAGTCTGACAATATCAGTATGTATTAACCTGCCACCTGGAGGAAAATTTAGGTTGGTTCAATTCCAAACTTGTTAAGTTCTTAAAAGCTGTTGACTTTGTCATCAACCCCTTCTTTTTTTGAATGGTAAGATAAGAACCCGTCAACCCAGATGAACAAATCAGTGAATCATTCAACCAGTTCAAGATCAAGTCAAGAGCCTAACTTTGACCCTTGACACTTGGGGTGCAGAGAGTGACAAAGGACTGCTTTAATTTCTTCAAATATTAAATGTATTTTGACTCTTTAAGATGATTATACCAATTCCTAGTACTAAAAGTATAAAAAAAAAAGAACATTGCAAAATTTTTGTGTGAGCCCTGTTGCCCCCACTCCTAGAATGGCCACTTTTCCCAGGACCTTCTACAAACCGCTTCTCCCCCTTTCATCTTATTTTTCGTGTTCGAGGCCTGCATTAGGATGCCTTGTGATCTATCCTGAAGGATATCTTTTCAAATACATATTAGATGTTCTCTTCTTCTTGATGGGCTAGCTGAGATGGTATATTGCAAACTTTATCTTTTATTTTTGGAAGTAAACTCAGAAGAAGCTCCTTCTATAGTCATGATTGGCTTTGACATTCTAACACATTACTTTTTCAGAAGCATTTTCTGCTATGAAGTTAGCAGAAGAGAAATTCTTATCTGTATCAAAATCACGAATGCAGCTGCTAAAGCTGCAATTGCTCCACGAGCGTGCTTTACACCGGTGAGTCTATCATGTTTTCTTCGTATTGTATGGATTTAATATCACATGGTTATTTTTGTTTACTAAAATACCTGGAATATAATTCAGAGGACATCTTAAATTAGCTCAACAAGTCTGTGATGAGATTGGAGTGTTGGCCTCCTCTGTTACTGGGGTAGATTTGGAGCTGAAAACTGAAGCAAGTCTTCGTCATGCTCGCACATTACTTGCTGCCAAGCAATTTAGCCAGGTTTTATTTTATTTTTACTGGAATTTTTGGTCTTTAGCAATTTTATAACATATGTTATGCCATAATTGCATCTGAACTCTAAGCATTGCATTTATATAGCATGCTTCTATAAATAATTATATAGTTGGATACTAACATTTTCTATTGTTTTGGTATTGGGAGGATAAAATAAGATATAGTCTATAAGGCTTCATGAAATGCCACAAATTCTGTATAAACATGTCCTGGTATTCCTAATGCTTTTGATTCCTAACTGTAATGCATGTTTCTAGAAGTATTTTCTCATTGCCTCTTCAGGATGGATTGTTATTATGTTCTTAGTTTTGTTTTACTTGTCTACCTGATCACGATGAAGCAACATACACCTAACACATGTCTTTTTGTGAAACCCAATCTGTAGGCATTTCCTCTCATATTGCTTGTTTGTCCTTTTAACTTGAGGGCTGGCTTCAAATTTTTTGGCCTCTTAGTCTAGATTGGCAAAAGCATGGAACTTGAAATATCTCCAACCAGGGGGGTGTCAACGGTATTTGAAAATCCGATTTTGAATTCGAGATTTGACATAGTTGAATCGGATTCGGATAATTCGAATATCTAATCGGTCGAATTCGGATATGACCTGATTCAATTCAATAAATATCTGAATTTGACTGATTATTTAATTCTTATATATAATATATAAAATATTTAAATGTCTAATATAATTTATATATAATAATTAAATTATATGAATAATTTATATAATTATATACTTTATATAAATAAAATATTTATTTTATATATTTATTAATGACCTAAAGTAATTAATTAATCGAATTTGAGTTTGAATTGAACATTCGGATATTTAATTGGATTTGAATTCGGATATTAATTTTCAAAATCCGTTGGATATTGAATCGAACTTGGATATCAAATTTTCTAATCGGATTTGAATTTGGATATTGCTTGATCCGATTTGAATTCGATCCATTTAGACCCCTAGTGGTAATCATTTATTCCCCCTGGAGGTTTAACCTTGTGGAATCTAACCTGTTTTGCTTTATGTTTGTCAATTTGTTGATAAAACAATCTGCACCAGTGGTGTTCAGGATGCATTGTTATTATGCTTTTAGTTTTATTTTTCATTGGTAAAAACATGGAACTTGAAATCTCTCCAACCAGGGTGGTCATCACTTTTTCCCTTGGAGGTTGAACCTTGTGGGATCTTGTTCTGTTTTGATAAAACAAGCTGCACCAATGGTGCCCCCCCTCTCTTCTGTCAATATTGTATCATCTGTTCTGGACTGTTTCCTGCAGGCAGCAGCTGTGGCACATTCTCTCTTCTGCATGTGTTACAAATTCAATCTGCAGGTTGAGAATGCTACTGTTCTTCTCTTTCTTGCAGAGATTCACAAGGTATCCATCGTTTGCCAGTTTAATTATATATCAACAACATGAAATTAAGAATAAATTAGATCTTGCCTTCATGAAGAAAGGTGTACCAGCAGTGTAGTGGTCATGTGTACGTGCAGGATAAAGTTACAGGACTTGATATTGATAACCATTTCATGGATCCTACCTATAAAACCTGTGGCAGAGCATACTGACTCACTCCACTGCCATCTTATCATATACTTCTTTTGTAGTCTGTTTCTACATCCTTAGATGGTTGTGACCATTTTGGCATGTTGCTCTTTTATTTCTTTTATTTTCTGGTATTTAGGTTATTACCTGGCTATTAGTCTGAGTTTCAGTTCTCACCTAGCTCAGACATTTGGATATGGCCATATGGGGCATCTGTAAGGCCATGCTTTATAAGATAACTAGGTAATAACCACTCCATAGTAAGTACGGGGCAATTGCACCTATTATTTGTTCAATATCCACCACTCATGTGGTAAATTTGGATTGGGATTCTTATTTAACTTGGGAAATTAAATCATGTTTATTTGTAATTAACAATCCATTTTATCTAAAAGAAATATTGAAATTCCTTGTAAGATAACATGTCTTTTTTCCTAACCAGAAATCAGGAAATGCTGTCTTGGGCCTTCCTTATGTGCTGGCAAGCCTTTCATTTTGCCAATCATTTAATTTGGATCTTCTTGAAGCTTCTGCAACTCTGACGCTTGCCGAATTGTGGCTCTCTCTTGGATCAAACCATGCAAAACGAGCAAAAGCTCTTATACATCGAGCTCTGCCAATGATTCTTGGTCATGGAGGTTTGGAGCTGCGTGCACGGGCTTTCATTGCAGAGGCAAAATGCTATCTATCAGATCCAAACTTTTCAGGTTTGGCATTGCTTTTTTTTTTTTTTTTTGTTTAAACATTTGAGCAATGTTAGGAAGACGTACCCTTTCTTGCAAATCATTCTTGCCCATTTGGGTGTTCACAGTCTGGTACGGTGCGGTTTGGAGATCTCAGACTAAACCAAAAGCTATTTTCTTATGGTTTGGTGCACTTTCTAATACAGTTTGGGCCATTCTATTGGGCTTAACCCAATTAGAATGCCAAACAACATATATGCCTGCATAAATAACAAATATAGACTTTTAGTCACCATAAAATCATTGAATCATCATCGTTGCTATACTATGTAAGCATCAAGTTTGGTTAAAACGATATATTTGTATGACCCTAATCCCAATTCCATTAATCATCAAATGTGGTTTTGAGAGTTTATATATATAATTCAATTCAGGAAACCGAACCACACCAAACCGCCAATTTCAGCTTGCTTTTGGTTCGGTTTGGTGGTCTGGACCATATAATTAACGTCTCCATTGCCCATGTTTCCATCTTGAACCAGTGTACAAAATGTCATCTTATGCTTCATTTTATGGTTGCCGTAATTCAACTATGGAGATGGGACTTGGCACAGAGCATGGGGATGGGGTGGTCTGTGAAATTTCATCAATCTACTCGTCCCTTCAAACCCTGCTTTTCAATGCTTTGATTCCATGCTAGGGCAAAACTACAGCAAATTAAGCTTCCTGCGTGAGATACCCTACCTTGACCATGAAGACATGGCCCGGCTGGCATAAATGATGGGAATTGGATAATCTTTATAGCCTTTGAAGTTGCATGTTGGTGAAGCCATTTGGCGTTATGCCCTGTTCTTGTATCTATATAATTATATGACATTAATCTATCCCTTTATATTTCCTACTTTATATACACATGCATAGCTATTAGTTTCTCAAATTATACTTATATGGTAATCAATGAAAACTATAAAACAAATAAAATATAACGAGTATGTGAATATGTCAAATTAGTTGGGGATATAGCTCTATATATTTGAACTGAAAAATTGGATGCTTTGGGACATTTACATTTCTTTTATTACATATAAGAGTTCATAGATACATGGATAAAAACATCTTTCACAAAGAGAAAAGCATTCATACCATATGAAAATAAAATTGAACAGAGGTATGGTGTATTGGCCATGTTGATGGGTGTCTGATATTTGTTCCCAAGAATTTATAGGTTGTCAGTTTTCAAAAACAGAATCATTGCTGATTTGTTTTCTTTTAATGAAACTGATTTGGTTTGGGACTTGGGTTTAAGGAGACCTTTAAGAGACCTTGAAACAATTGAGCTGATTCCTTTGATCAATTTACTTCAAGACCTTGTTCTAACCTTTTCGGCGGTTGATGAGAGAGTTTGGGTCCTGTCTATTAAAGGCAGCTTCAGTTCTTCTTCCTTTTCTTAAGGTCCTTGTGAACCAAGATGAAAACCTGTCTTTACCTGCTAATGAATTGTGGTCCAATCAAATTCCCCCTAAAATAAAGGTTTTTTGTTGAGACACTGCTAAGCAAAGATTGAATACCTGTGATAGACTCCAAAGGAAGTGTAAAAATTGGTCCCTTTCCCCCCATGTTTGTGTCCTTTGCTAGAAGAACGGGGAGAGTACCAACCGTATTTTTTTTTCAGTGCTCCTATGCTTCAAAGATTTGGCAACGCTTTTTCTCTTTGATGGGAGAAGTGTGGGCAGCACCCTCTAATGTGGTGGACCTTTTTAGGCCACACTTTTTGAGCTGCACTACACGAAGAAAGAAAACTTGGTGGCAATGTGTGAGGGGCAGTGTATGGGATTTGTGGTGTGAAAGGAATGACAGAAAAGTGGAGGAGATGATTGAACTTAAAAACTGTAAGGGGTGCTCACTGGGATCAGATCAACAAAGATTTAAATGGGGTAAATCTGAATGATCTGCTAAGAGGTAGGAACTTTATTGTGAATTTTAACAACAGGGTACAACAAAGGATGGTGGATTGGAGCCCACCTGGAGAAGAAAGCTACAAATTAAACTTCGATGGGTGCTGGATTGGAGCCCCTCTGGAGTGGGAGGAGTGGTCAGGGACATTGATGGATCATGGATGGTGGATTGGAGTCCCTTTGGAGTGGGAGGACTGGTCAGGGACTCTGGTTGTAATGTAATTCTCAGCTATTGAGAACCAGTTGGCTTTGGAATCTCCTTGAGGGAAGAATTGTATTGAAGATTAATCAGTTTTATGATGTTTGTCTGAGTAGATGTTTTATGTTATCCGTTAGATAGGAGGTGGGGACCACAGTAGTTATGTGAGTCCAAATTTTATTATGTTTTTGAGTGTTATATATGCTGTTTTATGTTTGCCGCCTATAAGGGCATAGTTGTCTTTTACTGTTCTATTATTTTAGTATAAATAATAAGTGAAGGGGGGCGGCCAGATTATTGCTCTCTTTTCTTTTCAACTTCTCTTCTTCTCTTCTCCTCTCTTCAAGAAACTACTTTTCTTTCATATTTTTTAATTCAGTAGATTTCTACTTGGTATCAGAGCATCGGCTAGGGTTTCTTGAAGCATTCTCATGCAGCCCTAGATCAGTCGATTGCATGAAGTAGTAAAGGGCTGATCGATCTGCTATAGATTGCCTAGTTCTTGGATTTTTTGGTGGGATCTAGTCATCTGGAAGGTGATCTACTGTTTGGCATCAAAATCAAGAAGAACTAGAGTACGGGGAAGAGTCCTAGAAAAGTTGGACTCTTTATTTTTAATTTGATCTTGGGCGGCCAGGTATTGTTAGCTTTCTTTTGATTTCTTGAAGAGTGCGGTTTGGTTTTTGGATTTTTTTGAGCCTCCTGGAGTGATCGATTCACTCCTCTGTTGGGAGGCGTGGGGAGGAGAGAGATTTCCCTCAAGCTAGGGTTTTCTTCTTCCGGAAAGGTTGGTTTCTGTGTGTGTGATATTAAATTGTTTTTTGAAGGTCCTCAATCTATTTTTTCTTACTGTTGAACTTTTAGAAGTAAGATGGAGGGTTGGAATACCGAGATGAAATCTACCGGTACTGTGGGACTGGGTGTTGGAGGTAGTAGTGATATTTTTGGGTTTGGGATCATTACTACAGTACAACTCGATGATACAAATTATTTGGAGTGGGCATAATCAGCTAAGATGGCTATTGGTGCCCGTGGAAAATTAGGGTATCTCATTGGGGAGAAGAAACCTGATACAGACTCTTCTCGATAGGTGCAGGAGAATACATGGTAATGTCTTGGTTGTGTAATTCTATGTTACCTCATATTGCAAAAAATTTTCTATGGGCTAATACTGCTAAGGAGATCTGGGATAGAGTGACTGAAACCTACTCTCAGAAGCAAAATGAAGCTAGAGCCTATTAGTTAAGAAATCAGGTGATAAGTATGAAACAGGGAGACAAACCTCTTGCTGTGTATTTCTCCATTCTAAAAACCCTATGGCAGGAAATAGATCACTTAGAAACTATGGTATGGGAAAGTGTAAATGATGCAGCAACTTATCACAGACTGGTAGAGAGGAATAGGGTTTTTGAGTTCTTGGCAGGGCTGAACCCTGAATTTGACATTGCTAGGCAACATATTCTTTCTAGGGAGGGTGTGACACTCTCTCAATCCTATGCCTTTTGTCTCTAGAGAGGA